GTCTGAGCTGTGAGACTATGCTTAAAAAAAAAAAAAAAAAAAAAGACCAAGATTCCTACCACTCTCCATAGATGCCAATCCAACTGATTCATATCGGTGGGCAATAGATAAAGACAACATAATCTTTTGCATTTATGGCAATATTCTCATATTAGCAAAGGGAGAAGCATTTCCTTAACGGGATGCCAAAGCCACTATACTGTTCATGCCGTACAGGGATTTTATAGATGCATTCTACTGGTAACATTTGCATTATTTGTATAAGACACGTATTTTTGTCTGTTCAGACTGGAAATGCTGTTTTTCTTTCTGGTCTCAACATGTGGATTATGCTCATGTGAGCAATACATAGATGTATCAGGATACCTGGTACACCTTCCCATCCAGGACCAGTCCTACTACTAGGCGGAGTAATGCAGTCATTTCAAGAAACATGTGATGGAAGGTCCTATCAAAGTGCTTGAGGAAATGCCCAGGTGCTAGGCAGCCTGCTTGTGCCCCATTATTTAGCATGCTGCCTTCAAGTATGTGTGAGGACATGGCTGAAGACAAGATCATCTGGTAGTCCAATCAGCTTTTGTACCTGGAATGGGAACGGACTCCATTTTGTTCTTTGCCTTAAGGCAAAATGATTTGGGCCATCCCAGCATCCATCACAAGCACGCAGTTTGTTAGCAAGTGGAACTGCATGGCAGAAAATATGGGACATCTGGGACATCTAAATGGGCCACTTATAAAGCTTGTTGAAGGCTGTCTGATGGCCATTGCTGGACCATGAATTGCCCACAAGTGTCCTATGTCTTTGCTGTTCTTCTGATATGTGCAAAGAATGGTATGGCAGGCAGAGGAGCATGGGTTGTATCCTTCCTTACAAGCAAGATTCTGCAAACGCCAGCTCCCTCACAATTCTTCCTCTTCCATGAATGAAGTTGAGAAATAGAGTTCATTCTCTTCCAGACCATTTAAAATTATAGCATTCAGTAGGTTTTCTGTGGTCCTCATGTGTATGGATTGATATATTTCTCTTTTATGGATGTTTGAAATATTAGTGTAGCTAATCATGCTTTATTCTGAAAACTACCTTGAAAGGTAGTGTTTATATTGAAGAGATCAATAAATGTGTGATTTCATAAAGTGTAAGTGGATGCAAAAGTGAAATATACTGCTAATTTGCTATGGTTTAAAAGAAAAAATTCTGGGAAAAATAAAATGGAAAGGCTTGGCAGAAACACATGGAAAAATGCTTTAGGTCTCAGAAGAGGTGTGAAGCAAGGTTTATAAGCAAATTGAAATGCGAGCCTTTATAGAAAACTCTATATATTCCAAGTTGAACTCTTTCCCCAAGTATTAAAATAAATCACCTTACAGATGCTGCTGCAGATGGCTCCTTCATCAGAAACGTGCCGCATCCTTTCTGGATTTTGTACTCACTGCTGCTTTGTACATTTAATTTACTGTAAATAAAATGGAGTCTGGAGTCTGGACTTATAAGTGTATTGGTATGACAAAAGGCAGCAAAGGCTTGAATTTTCTTTTTGTGAAGTGCACAAAAAACAACTCCCCTGTGAGGAGTGGCGACAACAAAGGGGGCTGTTCAGCTTAGAAAGACGGCGAGTGAGGGGAGACATGATAGAGGTATTTAAAATAACAGATGGTCTGGAGAAAGTGGAGTAGGAGACACTTTCTCCACCTGAAATTGTCACATGAAGTTGTTTGATGGAAGGTTTACTACGGATAAAAGGAGGCACTTCTTCACACTCATAGAGCTAAACTATGGAATTTATTGCAGTGGGAAGTGATGGCTTTAAAGGCTATTGAACGGATTCATGGAGGAAGGGACTATCAGGGGCTACTAGCCTTGCTGGCTATATGCTACTTCCCTTACCATAGGTGGCCTGCCTGCGTATACCAGTTGCTGAATTGGTGGGGCAAGCAGAGGTCTTGCACACATCCTGCTTGAGCGATCCTGGGGGCAGCTGGTTTGCCATCATGTGTACAGAGTGAAGGACTAGATGGACCTTTGGTATGATCCATCTTGGCTTTTCTTATGTTCTTATGCACTACATTATGCCTCATATGAATTATAAAGAAATAGCAGGTTATTCAAATAAAAATAGAAGTCTGTTGCCAGAATTCAGCCAGGGTCAATTGTATGTAGAGGCATGGTTCTCAGGAAATCCCTTTGCTGGATCAGAAACACTTTGTAGAGCAGGTGCTCTGTGCAGTGCTTCCTTGACTGGATCTCTGCGTCCCAAATCTGTAAGTAGTCCCTGTAGTTAGATTTGGACAGCATAAAGGTAAAGGTAAAGGTTTCCCCATGACATTAAAGTCCAGTCATGCCTGACTCTAGGGGGCGGTGCTCATCTCCGTTTCCTGGCCGAGGGAGCCAGTGTTTGTCCGCAGACAGTCTCCGTGGTCATGTGGCCGGCATGACTAAACACCGAAGTGCATGGAACGCTGTTACCTGCCCACCGAAGTGGTACCTTTTTATCTACTTGCATTTGCATGCTTTCAAACTGCAAAGTTGGCAGGAGCTGGGACGGAGCAATGGGAACTCACACCGTTGTGCAGATTCGAACTGGCGAACTTTCGATCAACCAGCCCAGCAGCACAGCAGTTTAAACCACTGGCAAACAAGTGACTGGCAGACACTGTCAGCTTCCCGGTGGTCAACAGAGGAAAAGAAAAGGAAATTCACCCCATCTTTCTTTCTCTTGATCAGGAGATGTATTTGATCTCGCCTCCCAGATGTGTAGGGGAAGGCAAGGAGAGTAGAAGAGGGTCATTGAAATAATCAAAACAGTGCTAATTATTGAATTGTTAGAGATCTGAATGCTGCCTGGTAGCACATCTCTGAATTGGGATCTACAGTTTCATGGGCATTTGATATGACACCAATGTTCAAGTCCATAACTTACCTAAAATTTATGTCTTGTGCCTGATTTGGCTGCCTGGTATGCATTACTGTAGAATCTAGAATGGGCATCAGTTTTGCATGTTATTGCATAGTGAATGGAACTGGGTGAACTGTGAGGCAAATGCTGGTGCTCAGTTTGATGTCTGTACCTGGAGCTCAAACACCTATTGCCCTGACCAACAACTAACGGATAACAGGGGCCATATTACCTTTTCAAGTGACCAACATTTAAAGTTTCAGCAAAAGCATATGATCCAGGACTAGGTAGATGGCTACAAGATCCCCAGTTGTGGCACCTCACTTACAGAATGCCCATCCAAAGATGCCTACATTATCTTTTAATTGCCAGACAAAGACCTTTCATTTCTCTCAGGCACTCTAGAGGCCTAGTTCTGGTTCTTTATGACTGCTTTATCTATTCTTCTGCTGCTTGTCATTTTGTATTGTATGTTATCTTTTTCAACTGATTATTGACATTGTATTTAACTGTTTGTAGCCCAGCCTTGAGAATACTGCTTATTGAGTGAATAAAAATATAATAAATAAATAAATTGTGGGGTTTCCATACTCTAACTGGTTGCTTACAACACCTTCTGTGGTTTGTACCACAGTCACCATGCAGTCCTGTCTGACATCCTTAAACTATAGTGATGCTCCTATACAAAATGTTTGAAGTATCCACATTGATAGCTCTCACATGGCCCTCCTTTTTGATGAGGCTGCTGTTTTTCAACGGTACACTTCTTTGACTAGAAGCAGATATTTATAAAATTGATAACATGTTGACTTTCGAGTTATGTCAAGGTTTGGAAACATGCTTGTCATAACATATACATTATACTAAATATTTGTCTTTAGGAAGTAATGAATTGTAAAACACTTGGAGAACCTGAAAGCAGCTTGCATGTGACCTGTGACTCCATCTAAACCTCAAATGCAAACTAGTCTAACTTCTAAGAAGTTAACATTGGATACCAAGAATCAAAATCAGTGTTTGGAGTTATGTAGCAACAACATTTGGAGAGGGATATTCAAATTCAGCTTAGAAATTAAGGAAAACATAACGAAAGTCTAATGTGGGATGTTAGACTCCATAAAAAGTTGCAGTGCAAAATAGATATTGACAGTAATACTAATTTCTGTAATGTGTCTGCCAAGTGTAAGAAAAAGAAGGATTTTTTCCCCCAAAGACTCTTCCATAAGGAAAAATAGCAAACAGCCAGGAATCAATTGATTAATAGATCAATCATGCCTTTACCTACATATTGTGTATCCCTATCCTTTGTAATCAATATGCCACTGTTGGTAGCCAACCACAGATGGAGCGATATTCCATTTTCTGCAGTGTGCTTTGAAAGTATTTTTGTATTTCCTGGAATGTTCAGATTCACTCTTATGTAGAAAAGGAAAATGATTTGTGCTTTTTTCACATTTAAGCAAGTGTAAAAGAAAAACCAATGGCTGTTACCAAGAGGAGCCTTAAATTTATGCCCCAGGGATGGTCAGAGAGAGGGACTTTCTCTATGGGATGTGTACCCCGGGCTTCCTCACCCACCAGCTGACCAAGTCATGATGTTGACTGACCACTGAAGTGCTCCCAGCAGGCAGGGCAGCTTTCTGTACTTTCTGGCTACTTCACAGAGAGGCCTTCACTCATGTTTGCTGCTTTGAGCTCTTTGGAGGACAGGTGGGAGAGAATAATAATAAATACTTAAAAGCATCTTAGTGTGTAGAAAATGCCCCTGAAGTCTTTGAAAGATATTTTCTGTATATTATTTCTTTGTAGTTTGTGGCTGGGCTCACTATAATCAAGTGATACAACTTCTTTGGCATAGTCCACCAGGTATGCTTCTGCCTTCTACATCTGGCATCCTGCAGGCTGAATTCTTCAAGTTAAATTTCTTACCGTTTTCTATGCAGTGGTCCAGATTATGGGGAGTGGGGGAGGTTGGCCTTCAGATATGTCCCAAGCTCACCAATACATTTTCTTCTTGATCTTTTGCCATTCAAATATTTGTAATACTGTTATAAAAGTTAAAATCAACATTTAATTGATACCCTGATCAAGGGAAGGAAAGTGTTCAAGGCAGCTAACAATAAAATCCAGATTTTAAAAATCTTAATTAAAACATAACAGAAAAACAAATACATTAAAAACACAATTAAAAAGACCAAAATTAAAGCAATAAAGAACATCGAACCAATGAAAACCCTTCAGCAACACCACATTACAAACTCCCTTAATAATGACAGGGATCCTGCAAGTCACTTTAGATGTTGGACTTGGCCATATCTAATGGTGTTCTTTACTTTCTCTCCTTTCAACAGGAAATCCAGTCTTCCCTACCCCTATAACATCGTCCTTTCAGTTTCGAAAGCTATTTGCCATGTTGCACAGACACTGTAGCGGGGGAGGACTGCTTTTTGATGGACAGAAGCCCAAAACCTCCTTTGACATGCAGAATACTTTTCAGTACTTAGTCCCTTGGCCCTTCATTTTCCTACATCCTCTTTCTGGTTCTACGCATAAGAGGGAACTTGTGGTCTAATGGGATATTTGTGCATTGACAAAGGCATAATAGAACCCCTTCAATGCCAGCAGCTGGCTGTGGGTTCCCTGTTCTATCACTGTGCCATTCTCGATTACTGCTATGATGTCTGAATTCTGGATAGTTGACAATCTGTGAGCAATAACAATGCAGGTTCGACCTTTTCTAGCTTCATCCAAGGCTTGTTGGACAACCTGCAACCGAAGGCAAAAAAACAGTCTTACCATGATTGCATCAATAGAGCATTTTCTCTCCATAGATAATTAAAAACAACTCAACTATTTCTTATTGTAGTTATTATATTTACATCCTGCCCTTTTTCCTTCAAGAAGGCTCACACAATCTTCCTCTCAAATTCATCCACTACAAAAAGCAGTTAGGCTTTGCTTTGTGGATGACTGGGGACTTGAACCCAGATTTCCCACACCCCAGTCCAACACTCTAACCACTATGCTACACTGGCTATCCTTTAGGGATCAAGGCAAGGATGTACTAACCTTTTCACTTTCTGTGTCAAGAGCTGACGTGGCTTCATCTAGAAGCAGAACTGCTGGTTTTCGGACAAGGGCACGAGCTATGGCTATTCTTTGTTTCTGTCCTCCCGAAAGTTGGGCTCCTTTATCCCCTACACGAGTATTGTATTTCTGTAGTTTTATAGAAAAGACAAGATGTGCAAGTGTTGCAAAAAATTCCTTTGTTTGTACTTCCAATGCAAAGTGCTACATTGTTTTCACAAATGTACAACCATAAAGGAAACTATGTGTTTTTCTGTACCACAGAGCCAGAGCCTCAAAATATAGATAGCTGAAGCATCATATACATAGGGAGAATGTGCATATATGTTTTTTTTAAAAATACCTTCATTTAAATTAATTGAAATGTGTCACAGTTTTGAATAATCAGTACTGGTTTCAGTCAGTATGAACTCACTGTTTATTCTAGATGTTTGGTAAAAGAAAACAGTACCACAGTTTTGCTAAAAATGAAACTCTTACTGACCAGAAGCTTAGTCTGGAGAAAGTTAGTCCTGCGGTTGTCCTGTTGAAATCAACAAGATGTACAGCCAGGTTTTGTGCATCCTTACTCAGAGTTCGACTGTGCACTCTGAGATAAATGCCTGAAGCAATTCAAATGTAATTAAGTTCTGCCAAGATACATCATGGATTTCCAAGTAAGCTTGGAAGTAAACTCACTGGTTTCCATGCAAATCTTCCTAGGGGGCTCCAGGTCACAAGTGGGATTTTAGTAGAATAAAATTTTGTCATATTTTGTGCTCTGGGTTTTTTAAGGAAAAGAAAAAATATAGTACTGAGAAATGAAACAGTGTGCCCTTTTCATTTAGCCATTCACTGGAGATGTTCCACAGAAAGTGGAGTACAATGTAAGGATGTCTTTCTTTACCTCTGGGAGATTGACTATAAAGTGGTGAATATTTGCTGCTTTAGCGGCTGCTTCCACTTCTTCCTGGCTGACTGCCCTGCTGTTGTCTCCATACTGGATATTCTCTGCAATGCTGCAGTCAAACAGAACAGGTTCCTGTTGCACAAGGCCCAGCCTGGATCTGAACCACTGGATGTGTAGACACTTGGTGTCAACTCCATCTGCTAACTGCAAGCAGAAAGGCAAGGAGGGAACTACAAAGATGCCTGAAGCAAAGATCCTACACATTACAGGGATGGCACTGGGAACAAAAGAGCCTTCCCATAAAACCCTCATCCTGGGCATTTGCTCATGTGGATCACTGCCCTGTTTCCTCTGCCTCCATTCCACTTGGAATAAATATGTGACTCACATCAAAAAGTACTCCTACTCACTAGAGCCAGCACTGGGAATCAATTGCCAAAGGAGCATTTCTGATGGAGTGCTTACTCCCAGCGTAGATGCAGAAGGAGTCACCACCGACTCACCACTTGTCCTGATCGCGGGTCATAGAACCGCTCCAGAAGCTGGATGGAGGTGCTTTTGCCACAGCCGCTGCTCCCCACCAGTGCCAGAGTCTGCCCTTTGGTAACCTGTACACTGAGCCCTTGCAAAACTTGAACTTCTGCTCTGGCTGGATATCCAAAGTGAACATCCTTGAATTCAATGTTGCCTTCAAATTTCTCCTAGAGGTGTTGGGGAAGGTGGAAGAAAAAAGAGCACAGAAATGTACTATTAGGATTTCATACATTTTTCATTATATTCTTATAACTAGATTATAACCACTCATTTATATAATTTCATTATACTGTATTACATAAAAATAATTCTGGAAAAGAAAATACTGCATTTATAAAGCTAAATGAAAAGATTTCAGTAATCCAAGGTAGGTTTTCACAGCCAGATGCCCTCAAGTTGTTTTACATTTTATTTCCAGTTATCCTTAATTATTGGACATGCTTCATTGGTAGCAGTGAGGTGCACTCCAAAGCACTTGGAGGGTACTGGGATATGGAAGGACTTGTGTGTGTGTGTGTGGGAGTGAGAGAGAGAGCGAGAGCGAGTGAGAATTAGTTTGACAATTTAAGTGGAGATGTTTTTGCAAATCATATTAAAGGTGCTTCTTAATGAAGACAGTTCTTAGGAATTAGTAATTTAGCTGATATCATTAAATAAAGCAGTATGGGTTGGAATCAGATGTAAGTGGGTGCAATTCAGCTGGCACCACAGGAATCTTTCCAATCTGCTACAAATGCTATGCAGAGGCTTGGGGAGCCCTGCTGAAAGAGGTGAGGTGAGGTGTAATGTAGGGGGGAGGGGGGAGGGGATCCTTGAAAAAAACTGTGCAGTAACATTCTTGAGAAGAGCCTTCCATTAACTGAAGGCAGAGCCTGTATTCAACATCATCCCTATTCCTGATTTAGACACTAAACCCTTATGATACTACAGGATGTAGACATATCCTATTAGTTAGTCCTTCTGTAAGAATATTCAGTGATGTTTCCTGCAATTGGCACCAGACATATACAAAGTAAAGAGATACCTCAAATTTTTTCTCTTGGTTTAAATGCCCTATAGATAAGAGAAAATGTGAAATTATACACTTCCATTTTGTTTAGTGGCTATCCTGCTAGGGCAGCATAAACCTCATTTGCTTTCTTGATCTGCTGTGATTCCCAGCTATTCTTATTATGTTTAATGGAATGTTGAACAGCAAACATATAATTTTTGTAAAAAATTCTGGAGACAATCCATCCAAGGGAAGCACTTTCAGGGCTCATAGAAAGGTTGTATCTTCTACTGAAAGCAAAGGGAGTTATGGAGCAATCTAGTGCATGTTAACTCAGAAGTAAGTTCCACAGGGTTGGGTAGGACTTATTCCTCTGTACAAGCATTGTGAACTGTGCACTCCAGCTCCCACCAGCCCCGGCCAGTATGGCCACTTAGTTGGGATAATAGTAGTTGCAGTCTAACAACTAGGGGGTCACAGGTTTCCTATGAATGATTCTTTTGGTGAGAGTGTTTTGAGGTCCACTTTTATAGGTATTTAGCCTTGGTTGTACCTTGCCCTATATTCTTGTTGCTTTGCTTTTGATTCATTCTAGGAATTAATGAAAAACTTCATTCAATCACAAAATCACAACATTTGGATTTTTTCTTTCATAGAAAACACACAGCTCTGATAAAAAAAAAAAAAGACTACATTTCTATAAGGATAGCTGTGATTCTTCTCCTCCTGTTAAGGAATGGACAATTAACCAGGTTGCTGACAAAAACTTTTCTGATCAAATTTACAGAGATGAAAGCAAACAATAGTACTGCTAATTGCTTATACTATTCCTTTGAGAAAAATATGAGTCTGTCTAATGGGACTATCATAATAAACTGTAGGACCTTACCAATTTTTCACCTTCTTCACTACAGCTATCAATTGGTGGCTTCCGATCCAAAAGCTGAAAAATTCTTTGGGCAGAAACTTTTGCTTTGCCAAAATCAGGTGCAAGAGAGTTAGAATGACCAACAGTCATAGCAGCAAAAATCAGTATGGTGAAGACTCTGGAAAGACAAAATGCAGGTTTCACATTTCTATATTAGAACACAAAATATACTCTGTTAGAGAATCTAAGATAACAAATCTTTCTGCAGTTGAGTTACACTGAATATTGTGAACAGAGTTTTTTACATAGCAACCCCCCTTTAACAGGCCTATGTTATTATTATGCACTGTAATTTCTCACATCATACCTGAACATAAACTGAACATTAAATAACAGTTTATAATTTCCCATTTATCTGTACCTAAGAGAAACCTGAGGAGAAGCAACAGTCTGCCCTGTGAATTGTGACAAGCAATGATTTGTAGAAAAATGACTTCATACTTCCCAAGTGAGCCTTGATTTATATGTCAGGAATACAAATTTTAGGTTGTAGTCCTGGACATCTGAGAGTAGGTCACACTAAATTTGAAGCGTTTTACTTCCGAGTAACTATGTACAAGTTTGTTCTGTGAAGCTTCACATCTGTTGCTAAGCAAAATATTATTTTCTCAATGTTCAAATTACACTAATGATCTACCAACCAGAGAAAAGTTGTTCTTTCATGCATTGTGTAATGTGAAAAAAGCTATTCTCTTGTGTTGGCCAGAAATAGAAGCTGAACATTATCTTTTAACTTGACCAAACCACAGAAAGGGATGAGTCTCCCCCCCCCCCCACCCCCCAAAAAATCCATCTAACTTTAGGTATTTCTCTAAAACAGTAGACCTTATATTTTCCTCACAGTGACACTATGTATACCCTATTTTAGCAAAGTTCAGGCTTCCATATGCTTGGGTAGATATGGTCCAATGACTGCAGTGTGATATCAGCAGATAATGACTGCAATATCAGCAGATATTGACATTAAGCCATTAAGAATATAAGATCGGGCCAGCAGCCTATCTAGTTTAGCATCCTGCGACCTGCCAGGTATACCTGGGAAACCCACATTGTTGTTCCTCAGTAACTGGCATTCAGTGAACATGGAGATTCAGTATAACTATAATTGTTAGTAGTAATTTAATGATTTATCATTTATTTTGGCCCTACATCTCTGTGAATGACAAACAATCCCTGAACTATGCATACACATAAATACTATGCTCCAAATACTCCAAATACTATGCATACACATAAATTTATGTGGAAAATTTGGTCATGCGGCTTTAAAAATTAGTTCATGTTTTGAATTCATTGGAATAGAAAAGGCATTTACAGACTGAAATATACTTACATAAAAAGTTGTTCAAAGTTCATGAGACAATGAGCAAGAAGCCATGCTCCAAATCTGAAGACAGCAGCATTTATAAAAAAGTTGTAACTTTGGGCTATGGCATATGAAATTCCATTAAGAGGTGCTTTCTTCAGAGCATCCCTGAAATTAAAAAAAGTCAAGGATAAGGAATCCTTATATTTTATGAAACAAAAATGAACAACAGACAGCATTTCAACTCCCAAATTTATAACTTCATAGTAAAATTCACCGCTTCTTAAGCCAATGCAAGAGATATTGGGTTAAAACTTCTCAACATATAGTAACTTTTAGGAAAAAACTTTTGCATTAGCTTCACATAAACTATCAGCCATTGTTGGGACAATGAAATCTTTCCCGCTGGCTTTTCTTCAGAACAACTGTTGCATCTTGGGTTATGGTTCATTGATACAATGAATATACATTAGAAGAAGCACATATATACAACCCAAACTACGTAGTCCAAATAACTTGTAATTCCTGCCCTCATGATTGGGTGAGTTAAGATCACAAGTATTCAGATATATTACCATTGAATTCCATGCATAAATGAAATGGATAAGGAGAAGATCAGGATGGGACCAGGTACTGGGCAGGAACACACTGCTGGTCCATTTCACATAGAAGATACTTCTCTCATGTTAAACCAGCTTGGCTTACTTTTCAGTGACTGCAGTTTATTCAGTAAAATTGTCCACAGATTAGATATAAATGAAGTACACAAAAAGATTATGAGAGTTTGAGTACACCATTTTAGAACTAGAAATTAATATTAGAACTGCATTTCTAAAATGTAATAAAATGAATTTTTCTGAGCAGAATTTCAGAACTGCTGTATCATTAATACAGTTAGTTAAAATAACGACCTCTGCATGTGTTAAATTTTAATTATGCCCCTGGAATCAGCTGGAAAGACATTTTAGCAGTGACACGCTAAAGCTCAATGCATGCATAACTTTGCCCGGTCCATTGGTAACTGCATAGCTCAAAACTACTGCTTTCATGATATCAACAGTTTGTAGGTATTGCAAGCAACATTAATGCCTCAACGTGCTATAAATGCTAAAAATAAAAAAGCTGGAAAAGTGACACAATTTTCTTCAATTAGATTTCAGAAGCTGAAAAAAAAATTGTGTACTAGAATGTGCACATGTCTAGGTATGTTAGAGAATGTAATTTAGTGGGAGAAAGGTCCTGAAAGTAGAATAAATTGTATAAAAGATTTACCTGTATGGAACTTCTAAACTTTTCTTATATTTCTCGAAAAACCTGTCTTCGCTTGTTAACGCAACCACAGTTCTTATATTTTCTACAGCTTCTGCTGAAATCTTGATTTGAGAAAATAGGAAAATATGAGGCTTTTAAAAAAAACCTCCTTTACTCAAGTCCAGGTTCTTTCTAAAAACATATAATAACACAGTCCTACACACACCAAACCAAGCATAACTTCACATGAGTTGGTATGTAAGGTCCCAGTCAGGGCTCTGATACAATATCAGAACTTCTGTGCTTGTGCTGACAACCAACTGAAGCCCCGATGTAGCAGCCTCCATTGGAGCTGGTACCCAAAGTTCTACAAAGTGTTAGGAGAACAGCATCTCAGGAGCTTTTTGAGTTCACTTCAGCCTCAGATCATGGTGCATCTGCCTACCCATCATTTTCAGCAGGAAGCACTTGGGAGGGATGGGGGATGGTGCTGAATGGGTTGAGTGTAAATTCCTGCTCGGCCATGAAGTTCACATTGTGATGTTGGGCCAGTCATTCTCTCAGTCCAACTTAATTCATGGTATATTGTGGTGAGGATAAAATGTTTGTGTGAAGGCATCACATGTGCCATTCTGAGCTCCTTAACAGGGTGAATACAAATACAACCAAGACAAAAATGGTGGGGGGAAGGAAAAGCAAAGGCACTTAACAATTATCTGTCCTCTATTTTTAAATGAATGAGTCTGAAAAACACATGTTTAAAGTGTTATTCATAGCATTTTGTTGATGCATTTACTGCTGAGCTTCTCCCAAAGGACAGCAAAGGGTGGCAAGTTCCATTTCTAAGTGCCACCTTCAAAATGCTCTTCCTCCAAGCTGCTCTTCCACTCCAGTATCACCTCCCACAGCCAATTCTCTACCTGTCCAATATGCACACTGCTCTCCTGCTAAGGAGAGGAGAAGAAGCCATGACACAGAGCTTCTTCCTGCAGGATATTGCTGCAACTCTTTCCTTGTCTCCACTCTACTGAGCCAACACTGCTATTGTTGAGCAGGTGGGAGAGACCCTAAGGCAGAGGGTGAGATAAGGCAGCCCCTTCCTCACTCTGCCATGCCTTTGCTCACTTGCACGCACATACCTGCCCTCTCCCTGCTTTTGAAAGACTCTCTCTGCCTAGAGCTGAGAAAATGCAGTAGCAAACACTTAGCAGCATTACAGTGAAATGGGCTTGTGCTTTTCATATGACTTATGGGCTATGCAGAATCAGTAAGTGCTTCAGGCATTCTCTGAAGGAGACAATTAGATTTATTTATTTATTAGAATAGGGACTGCAGGTCGCGCATTGGTTTAAACAGCTGGGCTGGTTGATCGAAAGGTCGCCGGTTCAAATCTGCAGAACCGAGTGAGTTCCTGTTGCTCTGTCCCAGCTCCTGCCAACCTTGCAGTTCGAAAGCATGCAAATGCAAGTAGATAAAAAGGTACCACTTCGGTGGGCAGGTAAGAGCATTCCGTGCACTTCGGTGTTTAGTCATGCCGGCCACATGGCCACGGAGACTGTCTGCGGACAAACGCTGGCTCCCTCAGCTAGGAAACGGAGATGAGCACCGCCCCCTAGAGTCAGGCATGACTGGACTTAATGTCAAGGGGGAACCTTTACCTTTACCTTATTTATTAGAATGTATTAGAATTAGACAATGAAGGTGTATCCTTCAGAAGGCCAGACTGGATTGGTGGGGTGGTGGCTACTAGTTGCCAAAACTGAGCTAGATCTGGAGTCCTCCAAATAGGAAGGATGATTTTCAAGTCTCCATCTGAACAGTCAGTTGTGCAGACAAATTCTTACAGCACCAGTCCTGAGCACCTTGGAGGAACACACTGTCTTCATGGTGAGCATCCATATCCCTTCTGCTATGTTTGGAGGATAGCCAAGCCTAATGCCTGATCTGATGCGGAAACGTGGGGCATCCAAAAATGGTTAGGAGAACAGTTCTTTCATTTCAGTAAACGAGGCATGTGTGACCCCTGTGTGGACCCATATGGCCTTTTATCTGCTGTTTTTATTGTTGGCTTGTTTTAATGTCCTGTACTTGTATTCTGCACATGTGCATGGTAGTGAGCAAAGCAAACCAACTTTCTAAAGGAGACATGAATTAAAATTAAGGATAATGTTGAATGTAGTGCCCACTGTCTGACCACTGGGCTCAGTCCATGGTCAGTAGCTGACAACTTCCCAGACTGCTTTTATCATTGACCTAATGCCAATGAAAGCTGGAGTTCAAAAACATCTGGAAGACCATAGGTTCCTTATCCCAGATCTAATCATAGCCATGCATTTTACATATGGAGAACTTACTCTTCCAGCTTCTTCGAGTGCTTTTTGATCCTTTGCTGCATTGCCAGTTCTTGTTTTAACACTAATAGTCTCCGTAACAGCGACGAAAGGAATACAGGCCAGGATAAACAATGTTAATTGCCAGCCATGCATGAATGCAATGACAACAGCTGTCACAAGTGTAACGATGGTTGTGGTCAATAAGGCCAATCGACTTCCAGTAGCCTTCAAAAAATAAAACAAAACAAAACACCCATATGGAATTTTTATTTTTCTGACATAAAGAATCTCTTAAAAAAAGTGTAGCCAGTTCATTTCAAAACAACAGGTTTTGACAGGATTATATAACCTAAGAATGTAGGCTTAACTATACGAGACTCTTTGCATGGTCACTGCAGTCCATGGTGACCGTCTTATGTCATGGTGGCTTGTGGCTTGTGCCAGATGTCATAGATTATTTAACCCTTTCATAAGCCATGCATTGGTTCACAGAGCATAACAAGCCAAGATGTATATCTGTTGTGACTTCCATACTCAAAATGGTAGCCTGAACATGCTGCAATGCATCATGGTTTAAACAAGATACTTTGGGATGTGGGGACTTTACAGTCTAAGTTTAACTAAGAAGGTGTGATGGACATGTATTCTTCCTTTGACCTTGACCAGTACAGTTGCCAAGTCATGCTACTAAACTTTTGAAAAGCCATTTAGTAGGCCTATTCATTAGCAATATTACACAGTTTTATATTTGGTAGCTAGAACTAGTAATCACAAGCGTACCATGGGATGAATGAATGCATTCTGTTCCATGCCAACATGGTATCAGCAAGCAATGCTGAAAACCTACGATGTTAGTTTGCAAGATTACGCTTTGGCTTAGTTTTGGAAAATTCTCATAGGCATTTCTGTGATGGAGCATTTAAGTTCTTCAACTCATCCTTCTGCCAGCCCTCTCCTGACTACAATATGGCATGCGTTACTGTATAGTGAACAAGCTAGGCTTAGCTTATTCAGCTTACAAGTAGCTGATTCTTTGATGGACTGAATTATAATAAAAATATTGGGTAGTTTCAAAATCATGCTGCTTTCTGCAGTAACTTCTTGTTGTATGTTCTACAATTTTACTTCTAATAAAGCAAGATAATAATAAGTAGGGACATACCCCTTTGACTTGGGAAGCATCTGTTGCAAGTCTGGTTAACAAGACCCCAATGCCATTGTTATGGTCATCAAACCACCCAATTTCCTAAAAGCAAAGAAGATGGTTCACAAAATTATTGCATTTGCAAATGGTCCATCATAACCTGAATTGCTGGCTATTACACCATATTGGTAATTCAAAGTGCACTACACTGACCACCTGGGCTATGCTGATACTTTCTAGTGATAAATATTGAGAGGATTTAATCTTAAAAAATGAAAAAAGGAGGGGGGTTGATTCAGCTTATTTATCAATGAACCTGCTGAGCTTGCCCAGTCAAGGTTGTCTTAATTCCAACCACATCAGAGCTACTCCTAAAAACCTGATCTTCAGAATGCTAGACAATGTTAACCTAGATGGCCGGTCTGACTTGGTGTGACAGCATCCTAGGTTCCAACTTTGTTTTGCCTAATTTTTTGTTTAACATTTCCATGCACTTCCTTCTGAAAGTCACTACTTACCGTGACCCTATACTTTGTACTGCTGCATGCATTTCTTTAGTATGGCACACAGTGCTTGGAGACAAACAGAATCAAACAAACCAAATGCCTAACCCATCCTAAAGTATGCTTTGGTATACCTTTTTATTTATTTGATTTATATCCTGCCTTTCCACCAAAACACACCACTCAGGACAGCAACAACAATGCCTTTAGCAACAATGCCTTTCATTGTTACCTGTTGAAGCAATGCTTTGAATGAAAGCGATCTCAGTCGCATGGTGAGTGCTTCTCCAGACTTTGCAAACATGAATCCCTGCAAGGCATAAAGACGAATATATTAACTGGGTATTCTAGGAAAATGCTGAGACATTTTAAAGACTAATATCCTGTGGATAGGGATTGAGAGTTAAAGATAAATGGTGTTCCATGCACTGCCACAATTCCATATGCTAAGGTAAGGTGAAGGAAGAGTTTGGAAGACTGAGATTTCCCTCTTGGTTATACTAGAATACTGCAGCTATCACAGACATCATTCTAACATGCACCAGGGTTGGGAAAACTCAGCCTTTTGAACTAAACCCATTCCTGTAGGGCTCTGAAATTGCCACAGATTCTTTGGACCCACCCTTCACAATGACTGCCAATGGTGTGTGGTTTCCTAGCTTTAATGTGGCCTTTTCCCATTTGAAAAGTCTGAAATGCCTCTCTTGAGGTTTAGTTATGTGCAGGAAGAGCACTATGCTAAAAAAATGCTGGTATATTTTGAGCTGGTATACAGCTTCAAATATTTTGAACCTGCCCCTTTTGCCCTCACTCCCACTCACTACTGGAATGCCCCTCTGAGAGTATGTCTGAAATTGAATTTGGTCCTTGGGCCATTACGGCTGCTTGCCTCCCCACACCTCATCGCTTCTAAGGGCAGGGCTGTACAGTGCCTGGAACAGTTCAGTCGTCATAACCATTGCAGTCTTCATGATTCATCATGTCCTTTTTACACAGAAATAATTTCAAATGCTGGCTACAGAAATGAAACACACACATAACAATAGTTCGTACATAATTAGGGTTTCTGCAGATGTCCCTTTCAAAAGTTCCCTTATGACAAGCCCTTATTAAGTAAGTTAGCTTTCTCGAACCTGGTGCCTTCCAGATGTGTTGGACTGCCATTATCGACAGTCACTCACCTTGCTGACTGGGGATGATGGGTGCTGTACTCCTGTACATCTGTAAAGTGCAAGATAGGGCACAGCTGAAGGAAGCATGATCCTATTCCTTACCTGGATTATATGTGTTATTAAGCTGACTGTTCCCAGCAAAAGGAACAACAGGGAAAACTTCGTAGTGTTTTGGCTTTTCTTTATATCATCTTGTTCTCCAAAAGCCTGCATGGCAAAGCACAGTGTGAATCACCAATACGGAAAACAGTTTCTTGCTTACAATATGTTTATTTAGTCCAGCTGATTCCTCAGACTTTAACAAGCTACTGCAGGTCATTTGTGATTTTGCTTTCTTTTCGCTTCCCTTGTTGGAGTCATCTGATTCTCCAGATGTTTGCCCATCACATTGAGGGCAACAGTCCCCTCCACCCTTTACTTAAATGACTTGCATATGTCTACTTTGCATATTTCTTCCAGCTGTCTCCAGCATCAAGTAGAAGCTAAGTGAATATACCAACACACGTTTCATGTGCTTCAGAATTTACATGATTCTGTGGTGTTACAGAAATGCAAGGGCAACTCATGGCCACTCCTAAACACTTTGTTCAGAAGTCTGGGATGCAACGTGCAACTTAATGCAAGGGCACAACAGAGAGCATGGAAAAAAACTATTCTTGCAGGTTAGGAGGAAAGTTATCTGAAAATACAATTATTTAAAGTATCGGTATGCCCCATTTTGACTCAACAAACCCCTAAAGAGTCTCACATTTGGCACGTGTTTGAATAAAATGCATAAAACAAACACATGTCAAAATACCCCCTCCACACACTAATACAACTAAAACAACAACAACAAACAGAAAGGCACCAGTAGCCAAGTAAAATAAAAACAGCTAAAAATAGAAATTAAGAAGACATCTTAATTACTATTTATTTATTTATTTATTTATTTATTTCATTTTTATACTGCTCAACAGCCAAGGCTCTTGGAGCAGTTAGCAAAAGCTAAGAACACACATTTCATTTAAACATTGAAAGATCCCAGTGAATAAAATGGCTTTGACTTGGTCCCTAAGCAATGCTAATATAGCCACTTCCCTCTCCGGTCTACAATACTTCCACAACCAGAGAATCACCAGTGTGAAGGTCCTCACTCCAGCCACCACCCACCTCCCTTTTGAAGACTTCAGCACCCACTGAGAGGACTCTGTTACATATCTCCATGGCTGGGCAGGTACATGGTGGAAGAATATTCCATTCACAAGTCTCTTGGGACTGCAAAGCTCAGTGCCAGCACTTGGAATCTTTTCTGGAAACACTCTAGAAGCCAGGCAGGCCTGCAACAGTTGGCCAAATTTGATAGTGCTGGCAAGAGTCCATCAGCAGATTTCATCATTCTTCCACAAAATGGCACCGTCCAGATGTTTTGGACTGTAACATCCAGCAGTCTTGACCATTCACCCTGTTGAGTGGGGCTGATGAAAGTTAGCTCAAAATATCTGGCGGGCATTAGCTTTGGGGTGGCTGGTTTACCCAGCCTTTCAGGGAGATGTCTTGGCTGCAGGGATTAAGACCACCTTTTATATTTTGCCCATTTGTCACCAACTACTGTAAGAAATCACTCAATTTACAAAAATGAGAGCAGAATAAGATTCTAAGGAGGAGAGAAAAAAAACTTGGTTGGCAAGTGGAAAGAAAGATTTTATACAGAATACTCAACAGTCCTAAACTTACCCCAATGATTTTACTGAACAGAACAGCAAACGCAGGGCTGACAGTACCTCCAAAGGCAGCAGCAATGACTCCAACCACAATATAGCAGAATTCAGGCTTATTCAGAGACAGAATTCTGTAAAAAGGCACCTCAGGGAGTTTCTCTTCCTGTAAGAGGCAAAGTTCCAGTTGTCACCAGTGGGTGAGAACACTAAATTTCTGGGCAACAAACCAGGGGAAATGTTGCCAAGAAATTCACATGAACTCACAGGTGCTAAATAAGGAAACTTCTTTATATTCCCACTGATTTTCATGACCTCAGAACTGTAATTGCTCAGTCAAAAACAAAGAAGGAATGGAACAAAAGGCTAAATCACATCAAGATCTACCTACATAAGCCATTGAAAAGTCAAACTGCATCAGTCATGATGAAAAGCATGAATGCACAAATCATTCTGTTGAGCTAAATGCTGCTCTGCTTAGACTTTTCAGTGTGTGTGTCTGTGTATATTTTTATAGTTTTAATGAAAAGTGCTCTGCAGTAGAATCTTAAAAAACAGGATATTATAAAGTTCCACTATGACCTTTTCTGAAGCTTGTGCGTAGGCAGAAATATCACTGGAAGAGCAGAACGTTTTCAAATGCTATGTATGGAGAGTACTGACAATTAATCAGTAGTATGGGAAAGAACTTCCACTTGTTACCCTCATTTTATTTTGTTTGTTTACCTAAACAACCAGATAAATGCACTTTAACAATAATGCAGTGACAAGTCTGCATGGCCTTTGGCGATAAAGTTGCTCAGAGCTATTGTGGCTTAAACACCACAGTTAATTCAGTTCCATTAGAAGAGTTGCCCTAAAGTGCGTGTCAAGTCTAATACTTTGATTCCACATATGCACGTATATGTGCAAACTATTGCACAGCTTATTATAACTGAATTAAACTAATGTTCTTTGTCTCATTTGTGCTACTTGTCCTGCTGCTGAAGCAACTAGTGAAACAGCAGTGACTCTTGTTATTTTTCGGCTGCTGTTACATTAGACTCAACATGTCTATCAGATAAGGATATCAGCAGATCAAATACTGGCTCACCTGTCTGGTTGGTCCCTCTCTTACATTTCACATGAACCATCTGCCTTTATTTTTAAAGGTATTGCAAGGTACTGGATGTTTTAAATGAGCATGCATGCTTTCTTTAGCATTTATTGCTTTCTTAATTTTTAAGAGATTCTTATTTTAAAGTCCTCCAGGAATTCTTGGTAGCGTAATGGGAAATCAGATGGCTTTTGCTTCAAAACATGTTTTAGACATGCAATAGTGCTTTGTTAAGAGCTTGATCAGGCAGGAGTTTGTGTTGAACACAACAATGGTACTCTTAAATTGAATGCAATGATGGAACTTCCAGGTCAACCTAGTAGATCTTCAGGATCTAATTTCACATTTCCTCTGCAGGACTGAGCTCTGGACAAAGTGTAAAGAGAAATGTATCCTTTCTTTTTGAGTTTTTCCTTTCCTGGCAATTGTTTCCTACAAAGTACTGAAGCAGAGTATAACACTGAAATATTGTAAACCAGTACTTTGGCCTCAAGGAAGTGGTACAAACACAGAATATATGAATTTGGGAGTTCATCAAGGCTGAACCTGAGCAATGATCAGATGTAGCAAAATTTGCAACACAAGTATTGTATTTAAAAATTCTGAATAATAACGAGCTACTCTAAACACCACACTATTCTTGCAAGACTTGATAGAGTTCATGTAGAACCAACCACTTTATCCCTTTTCACTGTCTTTTGTTTCATTTTCTTCTTTTTTGCAGAGTATCTTTTAGTAGAAATCCTACTGATACTGCGTCTGTTGGACTGTCTTCGAAAGCTTCTCCCATTAAGCATTTCTTTGCTGCCAGTAGGATTTTCTGAGTAATTTTCCTCCAGATTCTTTAGGTCATCATTCTCAACATGGTCAATATCATCATCCTCAGAATCTGTCTCCTCCTCTTCTGTTTTATCCTCATGATCATCTCTACCATAACACTAATGATAAAAGCAAAAGAATTCATGTAGGAGAAAATTACCAATAGACTTCAAAGCTTTCATTACCATGCATGATGATTATATCTGCAGTGGGACAGTTCTGGCATAGCTTGCTACTTGTGGCATAACCAAGTCTTTGACTGTGCCTAGAAACTGACTAGCATTGAAGCTGTTGAAACAGGGAAGCTACGTGCTCTCTATAGGCAGATGCAGCAACAGTCTGGCCATGGCATTCTGGACCAGCTGAAGTTTCTGAACACTTTTTGAAGGCAACCCCACATAAAGTGTATTACAGTAGTTCAAAAAGTGCAGTAACTAAGACATGTATGATTCTGTGCAAAGCACGCATTCTTCGGACTGGCACACTGGCCTCAGCTGTGCAAATGTGTGTGACTCTTTTGTCTGTAGGCCTGAGGTCTGTAGCACCATCCATGGAGCTGCTGGATCATAAGGCTGCCTGGGGCTCATACTTGTCATGCTGAATGATGGGTTACTGTTACAGGCAGGCTGATTTGTTGCCTCTCGTTACCTGTTGCGTTACAAGGCCATAGTAAACACCTTTCTGTGCCATGAGTTCTTCATGTGTCCCTTGCTCCACAAGAATGCCCTTCTCAAAGCCTGCAATAACATCTGCTGTCTTGATTGTGGAGAGTCTGTGAGCAATCACAATGGTGGTACGACCAGCCCTGGCCTTAATAAAGGGAAAAGACAACCATTTCAGAATACATATTCAGCACACACAAGAACATGCTCCTTGTTAATTCAGGTTTGAGTTAGAGACTTCTGAAATGATTGAAAGGCTATTAACATAATGATGAATTGTGGCTCGATGCACTTAAATGTTATTGTTTAATGCTATAATAAAAACACATGCACACATCTGACTTACTCAGCTGACTCCTAGGTAAATTTACTTGAAGTTAATTCCCAAGCATAATTTCTTAGTCCTTCAAGACCCTGCTTATTCTGGTCTATTTTGAAAACCTGGAGAACTGCTTGGTATCTTTTACCTCCTTTTATCTACCTTTGCTTCAAGTTTTTATAAGTCTGTATTCCTGGTTTATTTTATGACAGAAATGGCTTTCTGTCATGTTTGCATATTGATTATACACAAATATACTAACACTGTTAGATAATGTTCCACATCCTTGAATTTATGGTCAGTCTCTCTGTGTGCTCTGGAGAAAGACTAGGGCTAACTTAACACTTGCATTCAGGGGCCAGTAAATATATCAGCACTGGCTCTCAATGTTCCTATGACCTCAATGCCTCTGAACATTATAGTGCTTAGCTCCCCATCATGCTGCTACACCCTGTTGGTGTCTCTCCCTATGCATAGGAAATGCCAGTGGGCAGTAAGGAATGATGGATTTTGTAATCCTTAGGAGAACAGGTGACAGGGCAGGTACATCTTCTTCTGTCTCATAAATTACTAGAGTTTCCAGTTCACATCCTTCTTCTCCAAGAAGGTAGCCTGGGCCACTAGGTCAATGCTCACCATGTTGCTTGCTCCATTTTAACACTGGCTCCAGAAAATCCCACAAGGTCATGCAAGAGGGCACACTTTCCAGGTAGACAAGGGTTATCCACACTAGTGGATAAGCATCTTCAAGCATGACCTGCTATTTAGTTGCAATTATTCTCCTCATGATAATAGGCTTGCTATGCAGCCCATGCCGACCTGAACTTCAGGAAATGCATCAATTTCCCTCCTCTCTAGCCAAGCTTTTTTTTTAGGAATGCCAGATGGGACCTACACTTAGATAAGACCATTACAGCTTTAATCAGTTATGTTAAATAACTGTATCATCCTGAAATAGGCCCTGCAACATTCGGCTGGCCACTTAGTTTACTCCCTACCCAGCAAATAGCTGATAGAATATACGGATGGCAGAAAAATCTGCTATAGATTCAAATGAATTTGGATTTCTAGGATTCCAACCTGTGGATTCTAGAGCAAATCAGCTTTTCCCAAGCCATGCATATTCTGTGAACTTGCAGACCAGTTTTTCACTTCTGGGAGGATTTGTGCAAATGTCTATTAACACAAGTGTACTTTAGTGCCTTGGTTAATGCACATTTGAACAAGCAGGCATTAGCATTACTACTGGAAGTAGAACAAAAGTTCATTTTGTTAAAAAGGCCAGTGAGTGAATGCTGGAACAAAAGTGAATCTGTGGCACACACACTTGATGCATTTAGCATGGATGTACTCTTGGATGGTCCAGTCACTACTGGACTCAGAATTGTGAGTGTCTACATAATGTACATTAATTCCCAGCCTGGTTTCCAGTGCTTTGCGCCCATTCTGTATGCCTTGCTGAAACTCAGCCATGAAAGCTTGCAATCATAGCAGCAGGTTTACCTTATCAAGTGCTGCTTGCACTATGGATTCGCTCTGAGTATCCAGAGCAGAGGTAGCCTCGTCCAACAGCAGGATCTTGGGGTTTCTGGCCAGGGCACGGGCAATAGCAATGCGCTGTTTCTGCCCTCCACTCAGCTGGGCTCCCCTTTCTCCAACCATGGTGTTAAACCTCTGGGAGAATCAGACCATGAAAATCAGGAAATCACGCTGAACTTTGAGAAACAAGGAACGGTGGTCAGAGCACAAGTGACCAAGCAGAGAAAATTGGAAGATAAGATATCCTACTGAATCCAGGAGGATTCAGCACCTTACAGATGATGGCAATAATACCTTTACCACTTTATCTTTCAGGAATAACAATAGCAGGAAACATTCTTAGTCAAGCAAGGAACATGGTATCTCAGATTCAATCAATGGTATGAATACAGTCTAAGAAAATATTCCCACTGATTTAGCTAGCTATTTACATCAAACTGTTAACACTTCCTGAAAGATTAAAAATAGGTTTTCTGCTATCAAAAGGAAGAAAATTAACATGGGTTGGCTGAATGACTCCACCTTATGATTAACTCTAATTAAACATTTACATGTACTGCCGTTAATTTGACATAACTACCTCAGATCTGGTTGAAACATGAATCCAAAGTAAAATGACTAGAGACCCAAAAAGCACCTGAGAAAATAAGTAACCTTCTGATTCACGTGTTCTGACAAAAATGTTTGTAATCATTAATCTTATAACTGTTTTCCTGCATAAACTTGCATGAGGTGAAGCTGATTCTAACAAAGAAGAAGTACAATGTGACAACAGTGGAAGAATAACCACAACATGCATCAATAATAAAAAGGAAACTATCAAATGTCATATATTATCACACACTTAAATTTATATAGCCTGTTGGAAATGACTGTGTGTAATATATCAAAATGCTCAACCAAGAATTCTGCATAGAACAAACACACAGGATACCAAGGGTACAATACGAGTTTCAATAATCTTGAGGATTTATAACATCCCAAATACTGATATACACCTCACTATCAATTCTAGACCTAGTTCACATGTAAAGATAAAGCCATGGTTTAACAAATGATTTTTTGTTGAAGTGTGGTTTGTTTGTTTTAGCTGTGAACCTGGAGCCATGTGTGAACGATGGGTGCATCTCAAACATCTGCTGAAAATGCAGTTTTCTACCCTGGCCTTCTCTGGCTTGTAAATCATTGTAATTAACTATATGCTGCTCCATCTAACTTGTATTTTCCAGTGCTTTTTGTAAGTTTGAAATAGCTCTAATTAGTTTATTTTAAATGTATTTGCTTCGGAGTTGTAAATGAAAATGTTTTAATAGTGCTTTTCAATGCAATCTTTTATATTTATGTGTGAATCACTTGGGGATGTGGTTCATCCCATACATAAGTCATATATATGTAATATTAATAAATGTTTTTGTCAATAAATAAATTTTGTAATGGTGGTAAATTGTGGGTTAATTAACATATAATTGGCTAAGTTATGGGCATCTTGAATGTGCAGCCTCTGATAGACCTATGAGAAAAATTGACCTATACATGGATATTTATCATTTCTTATTAGATGTCTATATGTGGACAGCAGGGATAAGTTTCAAATCTCATTAATTAATTAATTAATTAATTTTCTTTCCCACTCCCTTAGCCGTAATGGCTCTCAGATCGGGTTACAAGATAAAGTATATATTTCTGCTACTAGGGATGTTAGACTGCTACTAGGGATGTACATGCCCCCTTCCCCCTGCCCACCCCCTCTTCACTCTGTTCTTAAACTATCTGGGTACTAATCTCTATCCTTTATAACTCCATGCCCCTAAGCTATCTATTGAAAGAATTCCTCTGCTCTTCTGTTCTGATGAAGTGCTGCTACTTTCACTGACTGGAACAGGTTTAAATGGGCTGCTAGCTGCTTTCAGAGCTTATTGATACAACAACAAAATTTAAGCAAATCTTAGTTCTTGCTATTTAAACAGCAATTTCCAAGTACTGGCTCTGAAGAACAGAAAGAAGTAATTCGTTCAGCAAAGCCTGGCCTATAGACCATTTCAAACTTTTTCCTTTACATAAAGTATCCTACTGTATAAAGTCCTTGGCCCAAACTACTATTTGTACTCAGAATGGATTTCTTGGTTCATCTCACAAGTGGAATGAGTTCCATCTATTTTCTTTAGGAAGATTCCAGGTCTGCTTCCTTGTGTGGAGAAAGTAGCTATTTATTTGGAAGAGGGGTTTTGATCAGTTGAATACCAAGTTGACCAAATACCTTGAAATGACATATACATGGACTTTTTTCTGCAGCTCCTGCTAGTAAAATTCATCCACTGCTTTCTGACTTCTGTGTTAGTTGAGGGAGGTGGAGAAAAAGATAAGTTGGATTATTCTCCTGAGGTTTTTTGTGATTGTGGCTTAAGAAGAGATAGGACACTGTTAGGTGGAGATTATTAGACTTAGATCTCAGTGCCTTGGAGCAGCAGCTGAAAATCTTGTCTCCCATTACATCTAAGTAATCCTCTAAAATATGGGATTGTTAGATTTTCCTATCTGCATATACTGAAAAACTGCCCTATGAAATGATTTAGTCTTATATATGTTTATGCAGAAAAGTCCTACAGTCCATGCTGGATGGAAATACTGGGGGTTGTATACAGTAGCTTCTTCTGCCTAAACATGCATAGGATTGCATCCTAAATCTCCTTAATTGGGCGTGGGAGAACATTTGTGGACTGAGACACTTACATCTTTGCTACATCCTCAGGGTCATGACAGAGACCTTGAACATTCAGTTACTCACATCAGGGAGCTTTGAAATGAAGTCATAAGCATTCGCTTCTTTAGCCGCCTGCTCAATTTCAGCATCAGTAATATCCTCCCGGCCATACCGAATGTTGCCTGCTATTGTGGTCCCAAACAAAACCGGTTCCTGGCTTACAATGCCAATGTTTTCTCTCAGCCACTTGATATTAAGCGTCCGGATATCATGTCCATCAATGGTAACCTGGGAGAAAGATCGGTGGAGTTTGTAAGAGCCATACAAGCAGATTTTAAGTGGGGGTAATTAATAGTGGGATTCAGAGTGTAATCCTGTGCATATTTAGGCAGGAATAAGTTCTAAGTAGTGGCTGGGGAATTCTTGGAGTTGTAGCACTATTTTCTGCCTAAACTTACATAGGATTGCATCCTCAGATAAGTTTCTTAGACAGAGGAACAGACAGGCCCACCACAGAGGAGTCAGGAACCACATGAATAATGCACTTCTATATGGACAGCATTTAATAAATTTCCTTAAATAAAATTCAATTGTGACATTATTTAGTCCGTCTTTGAGTGGGGGGTTATTTGAAAAAGCACACTTCAAAGTCCTTTTTAATGGATTTGGTGCAGATGGTGGGACTGATACTAAGACCATTAAACAGCATTTGACCTCTGAACAATATCAGAAGGATCATAAGATACTTTGATTCCCAGCTTGGAAGAATCTGGCACTGTAGCCCAAAATCAGGAGCTCCAATTCTCTTCCAAACCAGGGAGAAACTACACCAGCTGTTCTCTGATGTCAGAAAAAGAACCTCAGGAAAGTGAGAATGGGAGCAGGGAGGGGAAGGAATGGGATGGGAGAAGCCAGGATACAGGGAATAATGAAGCTGCTCCAGCTTCTTTCCCTCCCCCTTTGAAATACTCTTGCTAGTTGGCCAAAAATGGCCAAGCACAAATACAGAGTAGGAAGGACAGGGAGACAAAGATTACTTGTGCCCTGCATTGGATGCCTACAAGGCTCTGGCATCCTGATGGGACTCTGCCTTAAGTCAGTTGTGCTTCTCCCAATGAAATGCTTGATTTTCATTGATTTTCATTGTAATTAACTCCACTTTTTGGCTCATTGCTCTTAAAATGAATGATAGCATTCAAATTTGGTCAAAAATGGTATGAGAACCAGGCAGTGTTGATAATACTGATATTCCAACAACTGTTCAATGATCTGTTGCTTTGTACAGGAAAATGCACAGGCATGGATTGATCAAAACTTACCTGTCCTTCCACTGGATCATAGAATCTCTGCAGTAGCTGAATGGCAGTGCTTTTCCCACAGCCACTGGAACCCACAAGAGCAATTGTTTTTCCAGGCTGGATTTTTAAGTTCAGACCTTTGAGAATCTGGATGTATTATTTTTTTTGGAAAAAAATGTGCACAAATTTTGCCATCTTACTACTTTTAGTTTAGTCCACTGTACTAATTAATTGCAAAATAAAGATCACAGAGTCACACTTCCTACAGGTATGAATTGGTTAGTGAATGACATCCTAAAACAATGCCCTTATTTAATCCACCTGGAAAAGACATCCTGTATTCCAAATAGAAATGCTTCTTTTGTTTCAGATCATGGACTGGATTGAAACAGAAGGGCTGCTCGACCTGATTTGGGAGTATCCCACTCCAGCACCACAACTCACTTCGTTCAGCAAGGTCCCCAACATTTGCACAACATTTTCCTGGGGCTGGAAGGCTTGCTGAGGGAAAGTGGAAGTGGGGGAGTTTGTGTCCACCAGCTCAGTTTTGTGTGCCTATATCTGGAACCAGTCCAATTTCTTCTATCTTATTTTTTATTAACAAACTATCAGCACTTCTTCAAACTGTCAGAAAAGGGGAATAAATATTTCTCTTATACAAATGGTTTTATCCACACACACACACACACACACAGAGAGAGAGAGAGAGAGCGAGCGAGCGCATCTTACGTGAGCATCAGGTCTGGAGGGATAGCTGAAATGGATGTTTTTGAATTCAATCTCTCCTTGGAACTTGTCTGGCTTGAGCCCTTCACCAGAACTGCTATCTATGTGACGGGGCTAGAAAGACAATTTGAAAGAAATTACTCTTCTACTGCTTTAACGCAGGACTGTTTTTCCTTCTGTCTAATGGTAAATGAAGTTAGAAGTGCACCCTTTGTAATGCTCTCTTGTGTGTTTGGAGGTTACATTTCTGGTAAGCAGAGCTCCATTTTGGATTGAAGAGTCTAGAATTCACCACCAGGCTGAAATTGTACCACATGGATATGCAATAATAACTGACAAGGAGTCCAGTTTTCTTGAAGGATATTTGTTGTGATTACCTTTGCATAGATCATGGTAGGTATATAAGTGACGTAAGTGCTCATGAGGAAAGTGGTCTGAAACAGAAGGGGAGAAAACTTCCTTCTCCTCCTCCCTAAGTGACACTCCTACCCCTAAACAGCTTGTACAAAGAATTGGGATCTGAAGTCATGCCAACATATTAATATCTGTGCCAACTTGCCAGTTTTAAAAGTGCATTTAGCAAAAGTGAATATGGCAAGGTTCCCTAGCTTGCTATTCTCATCCTGAAAAACAACACACATGCTTTTCTAAGGCCTTCTGTGCAAGGGTGAATTTTGAGAAGTTATCCAAGCCTAAAATGAATGACTGCACACAGATTTCTTGCTAGTCAGCCAAAGACTCCACCCCAGCCATAACGTCTTTAGATACAATTTCTAACTTGCAGGTTTTGATGACAAAGAACTAGAAACATTTGTGACCGTGTTGCTTTTCACCCCCAATTTACAATTGCAGTGTCTTAAAAAACTGATGGGAAACATTTGCAAAATCTTGACATTTAAACCTTGAAATGAAAAGGCTACTACCCTTCAACATGGACTAAAATAATTGTAAATAAATAAAATTGCTTCTATTCCAGCAGAATCTCTGGGTAACCCAGAACTTATATACAGTATCATCCATTTTTAAACATATTTGTAAATGCTATTATCCTCCATTACACAGAAGCTAATTTTCTGCTATTTTAAATTTTGACAAACAAGAAAGAAAGTCAGAAGGGCTACAGATGAGTTTAAAAAGATTTTTTCATAACCCACATATGACTTGAAGGCATGAATTGAACTACTCCTATCTGAATTACTTCTGTTAAAAGATCCAAGTAAGTAAAGCATTACAATAGACAATATATACGTTGGTCAATACGTACCTTTTTGATAATTCTAAAAACCTCATAGGCTGCTCCACGAGCATTAGCCAAATATTCCAAATTTGGAGAAGCTTGTCCAATGGAAAATGCACCAATGACCACTGAAAAAAACACCTATGGAGGAAATACAGGAGAAATAATATTGGTGCTTGATGATTTGTCATCAATTAATGAAACAGTATAGTAATTGAAATTGCAGTTCAGTGCACACCTCTATCTCTTACCCCTACATTTTTCAGTGGGATTTGGAACCTCTTGAAGAACTATTTCTATCTCAGCTGTTGTCTTATTTTATGTATTAAAGAAAAGTAAAATTAGAAATGATTATATGCATTGTCCTGGCTACATTCTATCTTTGCATAAAGTGAACTGGAAAATGGAAGAGTGCACCATCAAGTTATCCATTCCCTGCTAATTTGCTCTGTTTTAAGAACTTATTTGCTCTGTTTTAAGAACTTTCCATGGTCTTTCTTCAGTGCAGGTATTATCTGAGTGGGTGAGCTCTGCATCCATAAGAAAGCACCTAGAATTATTAACAATGAGATTGCTGCTACATCAGGTTCAAATGTGCATTCCCTAACAAACTGGCACCATCATCACTGAAAAGCTCAGTTGCTGATGCCGTTTCATTTCCGGACAATTCCTGTTAAACTGCAGGATCAAAAGGCAGCAAACAAATACATAATATACTACTGTATCCAGAATCCACACCACCAGTTTGATAAGTGGAAATATCCCGTTATTGAGCATGATGATCCATTGTTGTTGTTATGTGCTGTCAAGTCATCTCTGACTTATGGTGACCCTATGAATGAAACCTCTTCAAATATCCTGTCCACAAAAGTCCTTTTCATTACAGTTCTTATAAATGAGCCATCTTTCAAGCCAATTTGTGGAGAACAAGGTAGCAATGCTTCCAGCTTTTTTAAGTTGAGTCATCACCTCCCCAATCCAGCATGAAATCTCTATATCGGAGCTTCAGAAATCCTATTTGTAAAGTTTACACTTAGTAAAATAACTATACTTACAATCAACACTGTTCCAATATCATAGGTCTCTTTCTCATCTACTGTGAGTTTTGTTCCATACCAAAAGCCAAGTGCATAGCAACCAAATATCAAAAATTGGGATATACCCAAAGAAATATTAGATGTGATGCTCTTTTTAGTTCCAGCAGTTTTAGCCTCCTTGAGGTTTGTTTCATATCTGCAAATAGACTCAAAAAGATTACATTTATATATTTTTTGCCAAGTGCCTTCTGTATCCATATAGGAAAGCATTTCTGCCCATTTTAATTTCTGAAAAGCACTGCTTAATGCTGGAACCTCATTAATTTCTGAAAAGCACTGAGGATGCTGGAACCTCATTAGACCCCAGGCTATGTGGTGGCATATAAATTAGCCTTTTCATTTGAAGATGTGGACTACTGTTGTTACACGTAGCAAGCCTGAGAATGGGAGGCACATTTTATCTTGTGATGCCTCACTGATGAAGATAAAAATAATTAGATCTTCTGACTGCACAGTTTCCACTCACATATAGATAGGCAGAGGAAAATACATTTAATTCACCCTTCCAATTTAGTAACATTTGGCCATGCCTTACTTTATACAACTGGGGTGAATACATAAAGCCATATATTTCACATGGCAATCTAAAAATAAGAAATTGACCAGGCTGCCATAACTGAGGAAGAAAAACAAGACACTGTAGCTTATTTGCCATCCTGTTGATTTTGGTTGTGTACTTCCAAACGACCATAAACAGCTTCTCTGGGCGTGGCTTGTCATGTTGCCCAATCTTCCAAGAGCAGACAATGCACAGGTTAACAGCCAGCCCAGAACCCATGGCTTATCTCCACCCTTGCTAGGTTCAGAGGACACGACAAGGCACTCTCTGTGGAGGTAAGTATATTAACTCAGGAGTGAATGATAAGTAATTATGGGGCAGAAAAATAAGCCATGATTGCTTATTTTCCTTTCCCAGTTGTGCTCACCCACTCCTTGTTTCATGTGACACAGGTAGGCCCTATTCCATCAATGGGATGCATACCCTTTGTAAGCCTGTAGGGCAATCATCACCATGAGATCTTAAACATGAATGAATCTACCCCACACAGCTATTTTTTCAATTAATCTGCAGTGATTATTTTGCCTACTGATCTCTTATTACTTTGCTTGTCTCAGCTTTGGGGAAGACAGAGAGAATGAAAGCTTCTATGTGGATTTGCCATTAGAGTTATAGGTTCACAATACAGTTCCAATTGCAAAAAGGCTGTCATTTGGAAGTGAAAAAACGCAGAAGATGAGGATGGCCTATACTTTGGTGGTGCAGCATGCTTTGCTTGGGGAATGTCCTAGTCTCCATTTACAGTATCTTCAGCTGGGAAGTCTCATGCCAGAGGCCCAAGAGAACTGGTGCCAACTAGTGCAGTCAGTACAAAAGTAGATGGACCATTGGTCTGCTCTGCTCTGGTACAAGGCAGCTTCCTAGATTCCTTCCTAGATTTCTACCTACCTACTTTTTGATAATTTTACCTTGATACCGCTTTTGCCTGTCCATTAAAAGCAACAACTGTCCGGATGGCAGACAAGACTTCTTCTGCTACAGCACCTGCCTTCGCATAAGCCAAGAGCTCCTTTGTAGTCAACACTGACAGGAGCTGATAAAGAAAAATGACAGAAATCAGTCTGCAGAAGTACACAAATGGTTGTGCAAATGGACCCTTACAGGTAGGGCATGTAACTCCAGTTTTTTCCTCTTCTTTTTATTCCATTGAAATTGTATAACATAACATTAATTAAAAGAAAGGATTTTAGACGAAATATTAGAGAGATCTTTCTGAAAGCATGAAGTGTCCAAAAGTGGAAAAGCCACAGAAGGTGGCGAAAACTCCAATAGAAGTTTTCAAGCTGAGGTTGGATGGCCACCTATTGGAGCTGCAGTGATAGATTTCCTGAACTGGTCAGGGATTGCACTAGATGACCTTTGAGGAGGTTTCCAATTCTGTGATTCCATGATTTGTAGCTCTAGCAACTTACATATGACCAGACACCCCCAGATGCAACAAGAAGAGGGCTAATAGCCAATATCACCAGGGTCAGCTTCCATCCATATACAAATCCTACAATAATTCCAGTCACAAATGTGGTAGAATACTGGATTATTATACCAAGCTTGTCTCCAATGCCTTCATGAATGGTGTTAATATCTCTGCAAGAGAGGAAAACCAGGAAATTCTGTCATTGTTTCTATACCTACATTAGAATTACTATCTGAAGGAACATTCTGCTTTCTTTTCCATTCCTCAAGTTTCTTTTGACAAGAAAATAGGACCGGAGCAACAAGGAAGAGAAACTGGCCTCAATCCAGGGCGTTTCTAGTAAGATCCAGCATAGTGTAAATGAACACAATAGCCACTAATGCCATGGGATATAATCACTGTATTCTGCTGCATAATATTCAAAGTTCCAAGCTATAACCTGGCCCCAGCTTGAGTTATCTAGATGTTGAGAAATTATGTCTGACAAGCATACAAACAAGAAAAATGTGCCTCACCAAATTTGCAAAAAAACTCCCAGTTATTCCTGTTTATTCCAGAACTGGAAGGCAGTGAAATGTTGTGATTTACACCACAGTGCAGGCATTTCATGTAAGTGTAGGATCCTGGAGGACACACAGTGGTACTACATACCCATTCTCTGTGTTGAAACTAATTTATCTCCTTTGGAATTAATGCAGCAATCCATGCATGGAGGAGCTTAGTGTGTGGTAAATCAAATTAATGCAAGTTAATTTAATTAATGGGACTCTCTTTAGATCAACTAATTGAGCAGAGCCAATGACTGAGAATGCAGTCCTTTTCAAAGCATGCAGCCCTGCTAAGCAGCTATTGGTGAAGAACAGGAGATGAAATTTAGTCTCTGCACCTGCTTCCAAACATCCACTGGGTAGGATTTTGACTTCTTGGAATGTGGATGCACATCCACAGCTCATGCTGTTTGATCAATAAAGAAGATAATGTACAGAACACCCATCTGTGAATTTGAAAAGAGGTAGGGATGCACATCTGGCCCCCAGATGGTTCAGGTCAATGAAGTCATGCCCAGCATTCTGATCATCTGCTTCATACACACAACCAACCCACCTTGACTGCCCCAGTCTCCCAAAGCATAGCTTAAACAGTAACATCTTACTCTGTCAGTCTAGTGTTCAGTGTTCCTATTTGGATATTATCAAACCAGCCCATTTCTTGGTGAAGTATGGCAAAAAAGAACTTGTTGCGTATTCTAGCTGCTTGTCTAGCAGAAGAAGTCACAAAGGCCCAGATTTCAATAAAGCTACAGAGCAAGACACCAGAGCCAATCCCAATGTACTGGTAAACGTGCCTGTTGAAGATTTTAAAGATTAATAAACATTATGTTAGAATTTATTTCAATGTTTACTTCTGGCCCCCAAAATTCCCAAGGCAGTGCACAAAAGTTATAAAGATGAACAGAATTCTGTAACTTGATCAGATAGTTATACTGAAGAAAGGAAATGTATTTGCTGATTGTAAGAGATCCGTTCATACCCATGCAAACAATTCAAGGCAGACAGTCACGCAAGGCTGAGATTCTAATAAAATATTTCAGTGGCATACTAACACACAATAACCTGATCCATGCTTCACAGTGGTAAAGGAAACAGAGTAGCAGTTTCATTACAATTTAGTACTATGTGAAATGTAACTACAAATTCTCTTAGGCAGATCCCCATCTACAACAAAATTGTACATAGGAAAGTGAGCAAAATTTGGTCTAAATGCAAGATAGAGCAACTGCTTTTAAAGCTATAATTGTACAGGTTCTTACATGGTCATTTTGGCTTCAATATCAATAGCTGCTTGTGGACATGAAAAGTTGTTAATTTGCATACCATCTGTAAAATAGTAACGGTTATAAGAATTATATCGTCATATACAAGGAATATATATGTATGTATGTATGTATATATAACTGCAGATCCATGCTAATAATCCCTCCTCCCTCACAGCCATCATGGAAAGAGTCACACCAGCTGCTTCTCTGAGGTTGTAAGAGCAACTTCAGAGCAGGGTGTTAGGGAAGGAATTATAAGGAATATAACTTATCACACAGGTAGTGTCACAACAAATAGCAAATCACCCATTTCCTGATCATGCTTGAAAAGAACTTGCATCTTTGCTAATGCCTCTTATTACTTTAGGGAATCATGTGTCACATTTTCAAGGCAATGATTCTGTGAATGTACAAGTTCCATTTATAAGCCTAATGGTTCATTAGCCAAACCCAGCACAAATTAATTCACTTTTGAATCAATCTGTTTTCATGTAAGAACACATGGCTTTGGAACTTGGGGGCCAGATCCAGCCGCCATCACTCTCATTGGCTTCTCTCAAGGCAAGTTTCTATAAAACCTATATGATCTTCAGTACAACAATTTGTCTTAGTATTTCCTGAACACCTGGAGAGGTTTTTGTTTCACCAAATTTCATTGAAGTTTCCTAATGAAAAACAGTCAGTGCTGATAGTATTTTCAAGTCCTGTCCCCTTCAACAGCATTCTCAGCTTCAGGATGTCTGGAAAGTCAGAATCCCAAATAAGCAGTTAGGGGGGAATTGTGATGTTTTACCTGTAGGCACATTTAGACTGGTTCCCACAAAGCTGTTTGTCATGCGGCCAAAGATAATGATCAGAAGTGGCAGTCCGATTCCAGCTGCAGCAGCTGTGATAGCCCCTACTATCATTAAAAGGATATCGAATCCATCTGCAAAGCTAAACTACATTGATAAAGAAAAATGGGGCAATATGGATGAATTTATGGAAGAATGCTTCTTCAAAGAATCTGAGACTATCTTAAAATATTCAGATAAAGAGAAGTTGAATAAGTGGCTTCTTCCAGTTGTGCCTGCCACAGGTACTTGGTTCAGCATCAGGGCAGACTTGAGGGCTGGGGAGCAGGAGGTAAGAGTGCTCTTTATATTCAGTTCTGTGGTATAATGGTTTATATTCAGTTATCTCTGCAAGCTCCCTGTCCCTCTCAGTACCAGTCTGGAGCACTAGCGTGGGCGAACAAGACTTTTTAGGGGTTCTCTTGATATACTGCCCACCCTGCTTCTCAACAGATTCCCAATCTGAGCTGACAGAGGTAGCCTCAGATGTGATGCTGAGTTCACCTGGGCTGCTGATTTTGGAAGGCACCAACATTCATGGTGCCTCGTTTGGGGCAGCTCAAGATTTCACTGTCTCTAGGAAACCTGTGGGACTGTCCCAAACTGTCATCAGGCCAGTGCACATATTGGGGTGTACTCTAGACTTGTTTTTTCCCCCCAGCTTATCATGGAGATGGTGATCTGAAGGTGGGGGACTTTGATTTCATCTTCGTGTCATAGTTAGTTCACCGCCAGCCGAGATTTAGACAGAGAGTAGCTTTTCCCCTTTGCCAGGTTAGGAGAACCTATTAGAATGCTTTGTCTCAAGATGCTAATAGAATTAAATAGTTTTCAGGGAAGTTTAAAACTGGCAGCCCTGTTGAAATCCTGGTTGATCTCTCGAATGCAGTTCACACAATTGCTCCTGCATGCTCTCTGCATAGTAGAGCTTGTATGGCTTTGTGGAATAACCTAGAACTAAGAGCAATGAAACAAAACAGGAAATAGCTTGAGTGTAAATGGTCAAAAAATCCAAGTGGATGCAGTCAAGGCCTGGATATGTCTATAATCAAGTATATTGAGGGCAGTGAAGGCAACAAAGAAACAACTGTTCATTGACCTTATTCAGTCTTCTATCTGCTACCCAGTGGAACTTCCTAGGGCAGTGATGGTGACCCTTTTAGAGACCAACTGCCCAAATTGCAACCCAAAATCCACTTATTTAGCACAAAGTGCCAACACTGCAATAAAACCTGAATACTGATGTTTTAAGTTTAGAAAAAACAACTCACAGCCAGTCAAGCAAATATATATACACAGTATATCCTTGGCAGCACACTGACCGGCCGTGCGAAAGCTCGGATGAGTTGCAGCTAATGAGTCACAGCTTGTGATGTCATTGCCTGGCACCGCTACTCCTTTCCGAGCATGCGCATGGCCCCTATGCTCACTGTTATCCAATTCTCAGCTGCTGGGGCAATGCTGGGGCAACTTGGCTCATGTGCCGACAGAGAGGGCCCTGTATGCCTGCTGTGGCACGTGTGCCATAGGTTCAGCACCACTGTCCTAAGGTCACCCAGGGCCTACTATATGCTAGTCCTACCAGTCAATGGCCCTGCTGGATGGGAATTCTGGGTGTTGAGCTCCAAATGCCTCTGAAGGCCACCAGGTTGGGGAAGGCTGCTGTAGACCCATCTGAGGCTCACTGTAACATACTTGCTAAGGACTTCCAGGACCAAATCTTTTGCGTCTGCCAGGGCTTAGACTCCAACATTATAACAGCTGAATCTGGCAAATTTCCTAGAGTACAGCCTGATTTAGTTTTATTGGACGGGTTTCAGTTGGTGTAGCTCCAGAATTTTAACAAGGTGCTTGGACAGGTTTGTGCAATCATGTCTGTACTGGATCCTTGCTGTTCTTGGCTAATACAAACTAGCAGGAAAGGAACTGCCAGCTGGACCAGGGAGGTGGTTAATGCTTTCTTACAAGAAGGAGTGATCCCATGACATGTGAAACAAGCAGCGATGTGGCAACTCCTGAAGAAACCTTCTCTGGATCCAGAAGCTCTTAATAAGAACAGCGGTAAATATCCCCTTCCTTGGCTAGGTTCTTGAGCAGGTGACAGCCAACCAGTTCCAGGAACTCCTGGATGAGATTGATTATCTGGATCCATTTTAGTTAGGATTTTGGCACAGAAACAGCTTTGTTCATCCCATATGATACCTATGCTAGGAGAAGATTGTGACCCTGTTGGTAATCCAGGAGTGACTTTTGATACCCTCAACCATGGTATCTTTCTGGGCAGTTGGCTGAATTGGGATTAAGGGGCACTGCATCGTAGTGGTTCTACTCCTACTTGTATGGCTGGCTCCAGAAAGTAGTGCTTGTCGGATATTGTTCTGTCCTTTGGACTCTGCAGTATGGGGTTCCTCAGGGGTAAGTCTTGTCCCCCATGCTAACATCTATATGGAACCATTAAGTGGGTTATCCAGAGTTTTGAAGTGCATTGTCATCAGTATGCTGATGATATGCAGCTCTATTTCTCCTGTTCAGACCTTCAGCAGGTAAGGCCGAGAATGTCCTAAACCAGTGCCTGAGGTGAAGAATGAATTGCTGTTAGTGGATGGTCCTTCTGACTGGATGTAGAGAATCCAACCTGTTCTAGATGGATTTGCACTCCCCTTGAAGGAGCAGGTTCATAGTTTAGGGGCTCTTCAAGAGTCATCTTTGTCACTTGAGGCCTAGGTGGCTTTAGATGCATGAAGCACCATCTGCTGACTTTGGCAGCCTGGGTACTCCCCCTGTCTGGACAGGGATAGCTTGCTTTCAATAATCTACGCTCTGCTAATATCTAAACTAGATTACTGCAATGCACTTTACATGGTGATGACTTTGAAGATCATTCAGAAGCAAAATGAAGCAGCTAGAATAATAACAGGGACCAAATGGTCCAAACACATAGAATCAATTCTGGTCCACTTGCATTAACTGCCTATATGTTTCTGAGCCCAACTCAAGGTGCTTGTTTCAATCTATAAAGCTCTATATGGCTTGGGACCACAATAGCTGATGGAACAGCTGTCTAAACTGCAATCTACCCAGATGTCGTGATCAAGATTGGGGCCTGACTCTGCTAACTCTAAGGAAGATTCACCTGGCAACAAGCAGCAGGGCCTTTTCAGTGTTTGCCCCATAAAAACATGGGCTGCTTTGGATGCTATTCTAATATTATGTACCATGGAGTCAAGATTACTTGCTCTTGCACACTTCCTCATCTCTCTATTCCTACTCATGTCTGAGGATTTGAAAAGTAACTTTCAGTTCAGAAAAAGGAGATACTGTAATGTCTCTATGTTGTGAGCAAAGAAGGGAGAAAGTGTTTGAGCCCAAAGGATGCTTTTGCTCTCCCTGTAATGGTAGATGTGGAAACAGTAACATCTAAACTACAGTAGCTCCCTCAAATGACAAACAGAAAGCAAATCAGTAGATTACAAACTCACCAGCTCAAAAAATCCAACCATCATGATCTTTTCCTTCTTTGACTTCTCATTTTCCTTTCTAAAAAGATTTAAACAAAATATCAAATCAGTTTAATTTCCTCTGAAGTAAATACAAAATTCAGTACAGATAAACCTACTTTTTCTGGTTCTTTTTAAAGTGATCATTTTGGGCAGCTACTTCATTCAGCTGGAAAGCAGGGTTGTCATAGCCATGGCTCGGTAGCTCTGTTGATAAAAAAAAAGTTGGCTGGAATTAGCACAATAGATCTTTTGAGAACTCTACCTCTCTCTCTCTCTCTCATCTTTCTACCATCTATCTACCTATCTAATCATCTCCCTGCCTCATAAAAATGCACAGAATTCAATAAGCAAAATTAATTGCTTAGGCTGATATTATTCCAGAAGATCTAGCTCATTTGCAGTGTTTACCCATACAGAGACAGCTCTCCAGTGCAATTAAGTTAAAAGGTTAAAAAAGAGATTTTTTTTTTTTAAAGTGTGACAAAGCCAGCAAGCAGCTCCCTGAATAAACTTCAACTAAGCAACTAGCTCATCACAGGCTTTTGAAAAGTTTCAGTGTGTGTCTTTCTAACAGTCTTATACTTGAAACTGCACATACAGAATACAGAAGTAACTCTCCATTCATGAAAGTTTTTACAAGCGTTCTTCAAAAAGTTTCCTCACTTTTTAAAACTCTTTTTAGAATTTCAAAAACAAATTACATCACTTTTCTACATAGTCGTCTTCCTTTGTGATGCATTTTTCCCGGCGCTGTACCTTTTTAATGCCATCAGCAAAAATATATAAAATATATTTATAAAAGATAAAAGTGCAGAAACTTTTTGAAGACCTTGTACATTAACAAGATGTTAGCAAAAGACAACACTAGATTTGAACAGTGATATCTTACTCTCTCATCAATGTTTCTCATACCTACCCCCACTCCCCAATCTAATGTGGCAGTACCAATTCAATAACATGCATTCTTGGGTCAGTGAGATGCTAGAAAGTTTATACATATTTATCTCTCACCAGTTTTTTTAAATCTTTGGCTGAAATAATAGGAGGTCAAAATGAGCTCTTCTCAAAAAAAAAAAAAAAAGGCAGGTGGATTTCAGAGGATTTAATGATGGTTTAAGTGATCTTTGATAAACTGGTTTGCCACATTTGTCCAACTGCACAGCTTTAAGAGAAGTTGTAGGACATTAAATATGAATTAATATTATTCTTTCACACCAGAATTTGCCTTAACAGTTAACAACAGGCATATTGGGAAAAGGATAAATGTCCAGGTAAGATTCTGTCCGCATCTTAAACAGCAAATCCACTAACATGTTAAAAGATGACAGTGATATGATAATGCCACCCCTTCTATATATAAAATTGTGTAATTCTGAATGGTTTATTTTGATTTGTATGTACAGGTGCTACAGTGATACATTGGATCAGGATGTGGACACTTTTTTCTGCTCATGTTGATCTTCCATGATGAGATTCCCCAGAACTTGAACAGCAATTTGAAATATGAATCCCAGAAAATCCCTGACTCTAGAAGGGTTTCCAGATAAGTTTTACCAAACCCTTTTTCTGCTAGTTCCAAAGCTTCATCATCTTTATAATCATATTGAGTCAGATTGCTTTTCTTTCCCATGATGCTTATATTACAGAGATTCCTAAGCCTAGCAAGAATTATACTTACTGCACTAACTATCAATCTTTTTGTTAATTCTCATAGATACCGAAATATTAACTTAGATCACAACAAGGTATCACAACAAGAGTTTAAGAGAAGCAGGAGAGATTTATTAAACCTAGACAGGGGATGATAATCTTGGGCTGCGATCTGATCAACTGAAGCTTAAATGTTTATAAGCCCTCAGATTTAGAGGCATATGAGCAACTGATGCAGAGTGGGAAGAATAGTGGAGGCAATAGATTTTAACATGTTTGGAGATTGAGGGAAGGAGGCTGGAGTTTCATCAGAATAGACTGTATCCTGCTCGCCTAGCCTTCTCCTCTCACTAGCACCATGAAATGTAGTTCTTACCTCCTCTCCAAGGTTAATTGCCAATCTTGAAGAGGCTGCCAGCATAGTGCCAGCTGTGTGAGCACAGGTTCCTAGCTCTGACATTGGAATATTTCTTCCAGTCTTGGACTTGGAAATGTGAATTATCCCATGGCACCCTGAATGCTGCCTAAGGTCACAACCTCTATCTCTCAGATCAGTTGCTGACCTGATCATTTCAAATGCTGAGAGAACAGATGTGGTGGCTCTTGCTTTATTGAATGCTGATACTTAGATTTCAAGTTAAAGCATCCCTAACAGATGGCTGCTTAGCTGCACCTTGAATGCCTTCAATGTGGGAAGGTCCATGTTCTCCCTAGATGATTGGTCCCATTGTCATATTGCTCCTACAGTTAGAAAATCAGATACCACAATTTACCAGGTCTGGAGACTTCATTCACGGTATAACTTCTGAAATGACCTTTCATTGTTTTGTGATGCTTTAGACTTCAAGAGTAAATAGTATTCACCAAAAAACTGCACCAAAAGAGAATATATAAGAGACTTTATAAGCAGCTGCTTCAACATGACATTGAAAACCAGCAAGAAAAGAAATGCATGGCAATTTGGATGCATTTAAATTGAAACAATGAAAAGTAAAATACCCCTCAATTCGAGTCAATCAAGAAAGGCTAACAGGAAAACTCACACTGTGAAAGACATTTCCCATGGATTTACTGGTTATGATTCCCGTTCCTGAGCTATCTATGCTCTTGCATATCCTATAGGATATGCCTCATGCATCTGAAGATGCTAGTCCATGAGAACTGGAGGCACTTTTGCTAGTCTTTATGATGCCACAGGGCACTCCGGATTTTTTTTCAACAGATTAACACAGTTATTCCTGTAGAAATTATATTCTGATGTATATTTACTTGTTTTGTATCTTGCCATCTTTCTTGCAAGGAACCCAAAGCAGTTTACAGAATTGTTGCTACTTTACCTGAACAACAACACAGTGTAGTGCATTAGGCTGAAAGTCAGCATCTGGTCCCCAAGTCACCCAGTGAGCTACACAGCCAAGTGGGGACTCAGACCCAAATCTCACAGGTCCCAGTCCAGTGCTCTAACCACTCCACCACACTGGCTCTCATAATATATGAGCATGGACATTTTGCATTTATTTTTAGTATGTTTGTCCCACTCCTTATCTGAAAGGGCTTCTGAAGCCGTTGACAGACAATCAAGTAAAGGACACAGTCTCTCTTACGGCCTTTGCAATATAAAATGCATGAGACATAAGGGAAAAGGAAAAGGGGGAAAGAGTGAGTGTTAAATCTTTCAGCTGGGTGGCAGTATGGCCCTGCTTTCTCATCACCCTCCATATAGCCTGCTGGAATGGCTGATGGAGATGACTATCAAGGGAGGAGAAAACTAGTGCCTGATTGTGTAGAAGCTATATCCTGTAGCATGTGGATCAATTTCCCTCGAATGTTTCAGATATGTTCCCAGTGCAGACAGATATTTTATTTCTTAAAGATTTCTTAACAAACAAACCCATGGTCCTTAGACATCGTCTGAGGGGCCATAGGTTAGTTCAGCTTCTCACCTACAAAGTTGCATTCCTGACTTCGGAGCTGGGGACCAGAGATTGGATCTCCTTTCTCCTTGCAAAGAACTACTCCAACTGCTATCCAAGATCAGGAATGTGACCATGGAGAGGCAGGAAAGGTAAAATTCTGGGACATGGGTGGGGGGGGGGGCAGGAAGGAAAGGAGACTGCAGGGGCTAAGTTGTCAGGCAGCCAGAAGCTGCTGTAGCCCCCCCCCCCCCAAATGTCATGGCTCAGATAGCCCAAAATGCTGTCTAGTGAATGCTGAATGGGTGGAGAGGTGGAGGGGAAGTCTCCCACTCTGCACTGAATATTCAAAAGCCTCCCAGTTTAGGGGGTTGGTTGGGCCTGGTTTGTTTCATTTGCTTGTTTTAGTGATGGCTGTGGGCAGATGCTGAGTTGGATCCAATTTTGCCCATACTTAAATTAATAGGATTCAAGGTAATCATGACTACCTGAAGTCCAATGGATCTACATCAAGGAAATAGGCAGTACAGACACAGAAATGGATGAATTCTCCTGTGTGCCTTGGGAAAGTGAACTCCAAGTTTTGAACTCCAAGGGCACACATGAGAAGGGAGGGAGAATCCGCACACTTTCTTATCTTAAACACACCTTACCCACAAACACACTTGGTCTTGAAATTATATAGAGTTTTGTGTTTTACAATACATTGTTAACATTTGGAAGACAGAAGCATTTCTAACTCTGCAATCCTGTCTCTACTTTTCTGTAAGCCTCACGGAAGCTGGTGGGAGTTACTCCTCAGTATACAGGCATAGGACTGTGCTGCTAAGCAGTGAGAGCAACCATGGGTAAAGCTCCTACTCACACCAGGCAGCAGGTCCCACCGAACAGAATGACACCTACTTCTGAATGGACTTGTACAGAACTGCACCAGTCACCAAGCGGCTGACCTCACTACATGTCTGTTTGCCTGCATGTTATACCAGAGGACAACATATTTCTCTGGATCCGTAGAAGGCTGTTGCAGCTGGGTGACTTCAGATGGTGCCAGGTGTAGAAGAAGAGAGCTCACCTTTGGTGAGGAGAGGAGATCATTTCAGCAGGCAGAGTGTGTCCTGCCACTTGCTTCACCTTAAAGGAGCCAGAGTCCGTTCCTCTTCCGTGCCTGCCCACCCTAACATCGCGCTATCTCCCTTCCCCATCTCCACATTGCAAGTCCGCATGGCCTCACCTGCGGTCTCCTGGGCAGCGAGAGATGCTGAGCCTGCGAGTCCGCGCTCGGCCGCGCTTCTTCCGCTGCCAGGCAGCAGCCCTGGCAAGCCTTTGCCCAGCAGACGCAGCACTGGTCTTCTGGACCTCGCTCAGCCCCTCGGAGCTGTGGAGGGCACGCCCCGCAGCCGGTCCCGTGCCCGGGGGTGGGTTTCACTAAGGGCAGGAAGGGCTGCCCTCCGTCCAGGCGGGCGAGGGACAGAGGAGTCACAGCCTCAACCCAGGCGATGATTTTATTCGTCCTTGTCTTGTTCTCTTCTCTTGCACTTAGTTCAGTCGCGAGCGCCGGGCAGCCTTTTCAAACGCAAAGGACAAGCGCAGCGTTTGAAAGACTGATGGAGAGCTGCGACTGCATCCGCAATTCGCCTGGCATCTTGAGCATGTGATTTGCTCTGTAAACACTCGACGGGAATGAGCGCTTTGCCCCTCAAGTTTCCTTGTTTCCAACTCCATCCAGAAAGTAGAATCCTTTTGGACAAGAAGGATAGAAGAGTTAAAAAGTCCAACAACTGAATTCTGAAAAGGACAGCAGAAGCCTTACATCTGGCACAAATGTTTGATCATCTTAGGATTCATTTCGCAGTGAATATCTCAGTTGAAAATTTCTCCATGCTCAAATTTATGGAGCTGGTGCCACTGAGCTCATATACCTACACAGAGCCTGAAGCCACCTTTGGGGGTCCTTCTCCAGAAGCCCCTTCCAAAGGAAGTGAGGTGGGTGACACCTTTTCAGCTGTGGCACAGCGGTTTTGAAATGAGCTTTTCAAAGAGAAGCACCTGGTGCCTACTTTGTATTCTGTTTTCTTCCATGTGACGTTCTCTTTATTTTTCTGGCGTTTTAACCATACAACTCTTTAACACTGCTGTGCTGAATAATAGCAATTGCAATTATGGATTTGTTCTTTTAATTTTATAGTTGTTGTGTGTGTCATTTTAACTTTTGTTTAATTTTTGTTAACTGCCCAGAAAGCCTCAGCATTGGGCAGTATAGAGATGGAATAAATAAATATTAAGAAAGTTCTAAATTCAGAATCTGTCCTGATCACTAAAATTATATACATGAAACATCTACTTGAGGACTCTTCCAACTGGAGGAGGCAAACTGGTGCCTCTGCAGTTCTGACCACCACCCACTGAAGCAGCTTGGCCATTCAGATGTCATTCCAGCAGCTCCAGGACAAACAGCTCTGGTGTAGCTAAGGCTGTGCTTGAAGTTCTCCTGGCAAGTTCTGCATCCTCTTGAAATTATCTTAAGAACACTGAAATTATCTTCAATTATCCCACTGAAACAAATTGTTCAGGAACATGGTCATTGTTCCAGATTACTTATGCCACAAATAGCTGAAGGTCAAGCTATACTGGAGCAGGAAGTACATTAAGCACCAGAAATACATCTATCCCACTGGAGATTCTATGTGTTGTCATTGTAAAGCAGTTCAGAACAGCTCAGCTGCTTCAAGGAGGAAAATGACACATACACCAGAGCACTCCCAGAGCGTTCATTGCTATATAAAGTTGCTTTAGCAATTCTTTCTCTGATTACCGACTATGTGCTCAAATGGAATCATATTTTGTGAAGACAGCATTTATTCCTTCTTTTGTATCAGTGCAGAAGGTTTGCATAATTTTAGATACTTCTGTTAAATTCCACTGCAGAGAGAGAGAGAGAGAGAGAGAGAGAGAGAGAGAGAGAGAGAGAGAGATCTTTTTTTCTGTTTTGTGCCAGCAATTGCCGGCAGAGTCAAGTTGTGTATACTTGACCAATGCTCTGTAAGTAGCAAAGGGAATGTGCCATCATGCCTGAATTCCAGTTCAAAGCCAGGTGCTTTGTTATTTCTTATATAAATCCTGCTTGCAAAACAGGGAAGCACATTGTGGCTGTCAGCCACTGACTAACGGCCGCCAGGAGGTCTCACCTCTCGCCTCCCAGGAAGGTCACCACACCAGCCTGGCACAGGCATTGCCAGGAACTGAGCCATCAGTGGTTGGAGCAGGGCCTAATCAAGAAAAGCCTGTTTCACCTGCCAGTTGCTTTGGGATTGTGAGAATAAGGCAAAGCCACATTGGCTCCTGCTACCACCTTGAGGACTCTGGGCCACTTGCTAGTTGTACCTCTTCCAGCAAATATATTAGTAAGAGAAACTCAGAGTGGAAGGGATACTTAGAGGGAGCAAAATGACAGTTCACAATCATTGCCAAACTGATCTCTGACCATTCTTCCCTACCTTCTCCTAAGCTCCTGTGTTTTATCTTTTTTCAGTAAGGGGACATGGTCAAGAGTCTGGCTACAGCCTTCTGGAACAGCTGAAGTTAGGCTTTTGTGAGTGAATCCTTCCTCACTAAATGTTTGAAGGTTTTTTGCTCTTACCTCCTCTGCCCTACAATAGCTAAGTAAATTCTCTGCACACAGAGAAGCCAGTGGAGTTGGGGCTTCTGTGGTGGGCATTCCAGCTCCCACCAAAGTGTCCCTTCCTCCTGGAAGCATCTTGAGGTTCAGGAACTCATGTATGTGTAGTACCTGTACGTCAGCCCTGTATTCTATTTTGCATAGATGTTGGTTTCATTGAGAGACAATTGTTCACAAAAAGGGGAGTGGACTGGCCAGGCTTCCCCTCTCACTTGCCAGAGGGAAGGTGACAGTCAGCTGCTGTATCCCTTCCTCTCTTTCTTTTTTTGCTTTGCCTTCTACTTGTTGCATCGCTCAGTCTTGTTCAGTAGAAATGATTAGTTTCATATCTATTGCACAGTGCAACATCTCTTTAATGAGGGATTGTCTAATTCAACTAATTGCTGGTAGTGTGATTTTAGTTAATGCATCTTTTAAACGGATGTTTTCACAATGTCCAGTAGTTGCTTCTTTGTTGCTTTGCTTGTGTTTTCTACCCATTTTTATCCCTTTTTTAGAGTGGGGGAATATTAGTAGGATTACTAATATTGTTAGGATTACTAATATTACTAATATTATTATTACTGGTATTAGAAATAACATTAGTGTTATGAATAATAAAATGCAGAACAAATGGCAATGAAAGTCTGTTGTTATGGTGTCATTCCACTATACTGCATCTATATCATAGCTTTAGCTTGTGATTGAATGATGAAAAATATAGAAAAGCAGGGAAAGACAACTGGCAACCTGACAGTCACCTGCCTTCCCATAAAGAATGCTCTTTTCCCCCCACCAAGAAAGAGAAGAAGCTTCATAAAGCATATGTGGAGGGTTAAAGTCCTCACATAGAGAAGCCCCACAGTGTAACTAATATGAGACTATGCCTTAGGCTGCAATTCCACATGGATTCACAAGGAAGGAAGTCATACTGAATGCAGTAGGATTTCTGTTAGAACAAAGATATTTAGGATTGCTGAGTCAGTTGTCAAGACTGAATCCAAAGTTTTCATTATGATAGTAATCTTGATAGGAAAACAAATGCTCAAAAGCCCTGGGCAAGCAGGACTGATGGTCATTAGTAGAAAAACAAGATGAACAACCTTTTTCATGTTCGTAAACTTTCTTCATCACTCTGTAGGTAAAAGGTGTTTCCATTGCTCATCTTTTATGGTATGAAGTAAACTACATTGACCTAATCAAAATTGCAAATTGTATCCTGCAATGTGAATTTCAGTGACTTGCCAAGAACAGGCAGGGTTTTTATTTTATTTTGCCAGATAAATCCAGTAGAAGTTAGTGACCACTGAGGTTGGTGGGGGAGAAAGCAGGATCCTTAGGGCAAAATTAAGGGCATCTCTGGCACTTTGTGATAAATAAACGGGTTTTGGGTCGCAGTTTGGGCATTTGGTCTCTAAAAGGTTCACCATCACTGGCCTAGGGTGTATCCAAGAAAAGAATGCTGAAGTTAAGGCTCATTTCTTAAGAACAAGTGATTTTTTTGTAGGCTTAAGGATTGTAAGTTTTAATGGCCAGGACTCGTATTTTAAAGGTTCAAAATGTATATAGCTTGAAAGATACGCATGGAATGCCTCTTTGTGTGTTTCAGGGTTCTTTTCTTTTTTTTAAGGAAAGTAATTTTAAGATAATTAAGACTTTTGGACCCAAATTAACAATGAGGTAACCTTTGTGCAGAAAATGTATAAAAATGAACTTGTTTTGAAATAAGCTGGACAGCCTATTGCGAAATGAATAGGAAATGGTACTAGGATAAGAACTTTCCTTTTAGACTTCTGTTAGGCAAGAAGTCACTGGCAAAAAATTGTTTAGGAAGTCTTATTGCCTGTTAAGTAGCATTCCCTATTAAGAGTGCCACTAGAAGCTGACTAGATGGCCATAGGGAAGTGGCCCCCATGTCAACCTTAGAAAAGTCCTCACTGCCAGAGCAGTTTTTTCTGCACTAGCTGCTAGCACTGAGGACTGAGCTGAGGAGGAATGGAGAGGGGTCAGGCTGTACCAGGTTACAGGGAATCCCAGCAGTGTATCAGCCCATCCTTCTCATGAACAGGAGTAAGAAAAGAAAAGAAAAGAAAAGAAAAGATTGCTCCAAATCTGCTGTCTAAGTGTTTCAGCAGGCAAGGGGAAGTTGCCTGTAATAATGAAAGTTTGGAAGGTTGAGGACAGTCACATTGGATGAAACTGGCCAGGTGCAATTCTATGTATGTTTAGACCAAAGAACTCTACAAAAGGCTGCAGAATGTTTGGAGTTACAGGACTTCCTTCTGTCGAAACATGCACAGAACTGCACCATAAATCTTAATATTTAAGATGCTGAAATCCTTACAATGTGTTTATCTTTAATAATAACAGTAGCAAATGTTCTTGTTTTATTATATGATTGTTAAAGATGTGATGTTCTAAGAAGTATAATTTGAATAGAAATGAGACATGGATCAAATGATTTCCCCTTACCATTTTTTTTAGTGTCAAGCCAAAGACTGCACCTACCTAAAACAAGGCCCTGTATAGCCTTTGTTTAAGATGTACTGTTCAGTTATGGATACTAAAGTGGCAGCAAGAGCTTCCCAAATATTGGAAATATATTACAAAAATGCCTACAAGCAAACATGTAACAGTGCTGTAAGCCTAGTTTCTTTGATCTCT